CCCACGGCGCCTGGTCTCCGCACAGGCTCCCACTCCGGCCGCCCCGCCCCACCCCTAGTCAGACCACGCCCACTGGAGGTCCCGCCCCCAGCCCCGCTCCGCCTCCCGCAGTCCCAAACCCAGGACACAGGAAGGGGGGTCGTTCCCGCTTTGGGTGCTGGCCTTCGGATCTTACAGATTTTCTATCTTTGCAATGCCCGACCTCCCACTGCCACCCCACCCTGCTGCCGGTGGAGAAGAGGAAGGAAAGAGCAGTTGACAAATGGCGAAACTAAAGCTCAGGCCAAAGAGCAGATGTGCCTTGCCCGGGGCCTAATCCCTACCAGCCAGGAGCAGAACATGCCTTGCGTGTTCAGAGGACATCCCCCTCTGGTTTCTCTTTACACACCACGGTTCTTGCCCAAGGGGTGTGCCCAGGGTCACGCCTCCGCATTTACAGAAGAGGAAACTGAGTCTGGGAAGAGGCTTTGGTGCCCCAAGGTAGTGCCAGTGGTAGGGTAGGGAGCCCCCCCCCAGAATATCCTCTTTGGGGTCCTGCCAGCAAGAGCCTTCCTAGGGTCTTCCTAGGGGTCTTAGTGGTTTGTTCTATTCCTTAATTTTCCTCCTCAGCCACCTGTGACAGTAATTAAGGTAAAGTACCTCCTGGTGGGACCTAAACTATCGTGACCTGCTCCCCTGCATTTTCTCCTGGGGAACTTTCTTGTGGCCACGTGGACTAGATGAAGTCAGAAACTCTGACATCAGAAATGTGAGATGACCCCACCCTTCTGGCCACCCGGCCCCAGGGCTTGTCCAGGCAAGGTTCTCAGGAAGGAAGGTGTTTTCCCACAAGTGGCCCCTGGCAAGAAATCAGGGCAGCTTCTCTGTGCCCACTGGAAGGCGTGGAAACTGCCGTCCGCCGTCTTCCAACCGGAGCCACGTGGGTGCTGAACCAGCTCTTTTCTGGGGCCAGACCTAAACAGACACCTTGGTGTGCCTGGCCTGCTCCCCCGCAGTGTGACTTGTGTAGGTGCTGAGCTCTCAGTTGTGGGGACATGCAAGCAGGGGCTAGTCAGGGAGCCCCTGTGACCTGGTTTGCACTGACCATAACCACTGTTGTTTGAGCAATCTCTAACCTGTGGGGGTGGGGGCAGTCCTCCACAAGGGGACAAAGGACAATGTCATGCCAGTTCAGCAAGTGCTGATCTTGGAACCAAGTTTTCTGACCCCCAGGGCAGAGGTCAGAACTGGAAAAGCTGGTAAGGAAGGGAAAAACCTGGAAGTGGGTGGGGAGGACGCTGGGGTGGATAAGACACAGACAGGGCTGGGGCTACTTCTCTCTAAGGAACGTGGCCAGGGTTCTGTTTTTAGGAGTTACAGTTGTGCTTTTGAAACCCACCCCCATGGGTCACCATGGGCCTCCCCTGGGACAGCATTATCTCCACTGAAGATGTCCCACTAGCACCTCACACACGGCATATCCTTCCAGGGTCCCTCAACCTCAGAGCCAGGGCACCCCAATCCACCCACTTCTCACCCCTGCCCTTGTACCAGCCTCCCTGCCCCTCTGGCCATCCTAGTCCACCCTACCCAGCAGCCTAAGGGACCTTTCTAGAAAGCCAGTCTGACCAGGCTCTTTCTCCGCTTGGCATGCCTTTATCAAGCCTTTCTGGCAGCAGCTTATCATGCCTGCCTCACCCTGGCCATACCGGGCCACACTTGCCTGCAGCCTTTGCCATGCTGGTCCCTGTACTTACACTCCTCTTCATCCTCCAACACCCCATTCTGGGGCCCCTTGGAGGGAAACACTACAGCCTTTTGGGGGCCCCATCCTGCTCCTCCCTTGGTCTTTATCTGGGTACCACCCCATAAGACACAGAGCCTACACCCTGGGAACCCACTGTCTTCCTGCGTGACCCTCACAACTACCTTCATCTCTCTTGGCTTAATTTCCTCTTCTGCAAAGGGACATTATAGCTCTCTTCCCTGAGGGCTACCCCATGGTCGGGCCCACAGGAGGCACTCAATAAATGCAGAATCAGGCCAGCTGGTGGCACGGTAGTTGGGGTGGCCGGATCATGCATGGCCAACTGTGCAGTTTAAGTCCTGGACCAGGAGGCTTGAAAAACACAAGGGGTGTCTCCAAAAGGAGGAAGAAATGGAGGAGAAGGGATTGTGTCCTGCCCATTCCCCATGGAGGGTGCTTTCTTCCCTCCAAACCCCTCCCCTCTAAATAAATAAATAAACAGACAAATAAAATGCAGGATCATGTGCTCACACTTGAGCCCAGAGAGGAAGACTAGTCAAGAGCTTGGTGAGCTAGACTAGCCCCAGGACCCAAGACTCCAGATCCTTTGGAAAAGTTGCTATTCCAGCCTGAGACCAAGAGACAAAAACACAGAGATAGAGAAAGAGAGAAATAGAACGAGAGAGACAGAGTTGTAGGAATTTTTCCATGAACAGAGTAGTCCTTATTTATTGCCGAAAATTCAGAAACCACAAAAAGGAGAAAATGAAGTCCCTCTATTGGTCTGTTTACTACACCTCAATAAAACAGTGAAAGGGAAAAGAAGTCAACCCCCATCCGGCCGCCCGCCTCGCTATCAGCAAGGTCCACTGTGACATGCTGGCATACATCCTTCAGTGTTTCTCTCAGCATCTGTCCCTGTCACCTCTGCAAAATCGCACCACATCATTAGGTGACGTGCCCCTTCTCAGACAGTGCCTTTTAAAGGCCAGCGGGCTAGGCAGGCTTCCTCTGTGCCAGCCTAGGAGGGAGGCAGATAAAGATGAAGGACAGGGAATCAAGGTGGAGGGTCCAGCGTGATGACCACCCTGCACAAACGAGAGGCACGTTCTCTTGGACTATAGTGGAGCTAGTGACCCTGGAGTTGTGCAGTGCACAACCTACTCTGCCGTCTCCTCTGTCCTGGCCCCAACATCATGTAGGTGAGGAGGCTGAGCCTGGACTCACACACCTACCCCAGTGGAGGTGACCTTCAGGAAATCCCTCTCGCTTTCACAAAGCCAAGCCTTAGTGCTTGGGGCAGAGAGAAGGGCAGGATGGCACCCAGAGACCTGATTCTGCGGTGTGCTTCCCAGAGACACCCCTGCCCGGCTTAGGCTGTCTTCCAAGGGCCCTCGCTCACCCAACACACTCCTCTGCCCAAGTCTCAGTCTCCTAGACCCCGACTCTCCACCTGCTCGCACCAGTTCTGGGCTACTCAGGTGGCCACGTAAACGTACTTCCCCAGTCACTGTCCTCGCATGGCCCAGGACCTGGACCCCAGAGGCCCTGAGTGCTGTCCAGACAACACCGTCACGTCCCCCTCCTACTCCAAATGCTCTCGCTCCCCCTGCTCACACCCCAGCAGCATTCTCTGCCTCACTCTCAGCCACCATCCTCCTATCCACACTCAGAAATTTGAAGCCTCCCAGGGGACCCTGGGGGGCCACACCCTCAGGTCCCCTATGTCCCTGCATGGGGCCATGGACTTTGTCCCTCTCCTCAGTGGGCACATGGCAGCCCCTCCCTCTGTCACCTAGCAACACTGTCTCTCTCCTGCAGTGGAGTCTCTTCCTGGGCCACTCCCACTGGCCACGCATACACCCTGTTGTTTCTGCCATAGTGAAAAACAAAACCGACCCGCCAGCCTGTGGCCCGATGGTTCAAGGGAGCTGGCGCCCACATGGTCAGCCCACGGGATTCAAGTCCCAGTCCTGGTAGCTTGAAAACCTTGCCAGGCACATGTGTATGTGTGCCCAAAATCTCAAAAGGAGGGAGGAATGGACATGGGATTGTGGCATGACCATCCCATGAGGGGTACTTTCTCACTTTCCTTCTGTCTGTCTCTTTCTCTCCCTCTCGTGAGTGGGTGTGTCCTCTAGCAAAAAGGAAAAGAAAAACACAGGTCCAGCCACAGTGGCATGAGCGGTATGCCGTAAGGAAAGGCCATGGGTTTGGATTCCAGGTTGATCTGAACGCCCTGGGC